TACATAAAGACAAAAGGAAAACTTATCTTAGTTGATGTGTTTTGTCAATTCACTTTATCAAGACAAAATGTCCACCAGAGGATGAAATACATCAACTAAGATATTGTCCTTTTACAGATATATTAAATATATCTGAAATTTTACATATAATCTTATGTGTATGAATATATAAGCTATATAAATAAATGTCGAATATTTATGTTTAGGAAACTTTTGGAAGTTTTCCTCTAAATATTGGAAAGTGTTAAACAAATGATTGATAAATGTGAAATGTCTCTTGTATTTTATTTTCTATTTGTTGGAATTCTAAATGATTGAAAATTTTGAAATAATCATTTAATTTCATCATCCAATTTTACTTTTCATCACATGTAAGTACAATTATTGCTATGATTATTTAATTTTTGAAAAATCAAAGTTTTTCTTTACTTTGGGAGAATAAAAAGAAATTTGACTCTGAATTTATTTAAAATGAAAAAGATTAGTAATTCTTAATTATGAGAGTTTGCATTTTTGGCTTTGAAACATAAAAAAATAAATTTTTTTTTTTCCTTTAATAAATGACATTGGGTACTTTTACTATTTATGTAAGAAATAATGTTTCAAATTTTTCTGTTGATGCCTTGAATCTTGAAATCTTGTCTCAGATTTGTTATTGCTCAATAGAAATATTTTCTTTAAATAAATTGTTTTGACAGAAAAGTACTTTTTAGATCCCTATATGAAAAGCTTCTACATGACCCTTTAAGAAAGACTTCTGATGGTTTTCATCAAAATTGACAAGAGACATTTTGTTTCATGTACTTATGATATTTACAACATTATTCAATTATTGCCCATCCACATTTCTCTTAATGTACAGGGTCAAAATATGGAAAATAAATATTATTAATGTTACTTTAATAATTATTCTAATTAAGTATCAGTTTGCAACAAAATTGTTGAATTATTTGGATTTCTGAAATATTCATTTACTTACAGTTTGAGTATATGCAATATCTGTCCGGAAATTATCAAGCCACTGTGAAGACCATATTGTGTGTCTCTTGATGTAAGAAGGCCACTAATTTGGACCATACACTATCCTCTGAGGTTACTCAGTCAACAGTGAGATGCTATCAAATCAACTACTGCATTTACAATGACTAAGTAGAGTATTGAAGTGCTGTGTTTTTTTATTTATTTTTATTTATTTATTTTTTTTTTTTTTCAAAAATTTTGCAACCACCAAGGTTACTGGCCACTCTGCCATTTTGGTTTGGCTTCCTGTAACTTTTAACTATTGGTATTTGAAAGGATGATTTGTGACTGTAGATGAGATTAAGAATATGATCAGGTAGCTGATCACAATTCCGAAAGAGGATTTGCATATTGTTTTACAAATTGAAGAAACACCAAGAAAAGTGTCCCAGTGGGTGATTCTTTGAAGAGGAGTGAAGTATGATTGTTTGAAGTAGGCTTTTTTAATTTTTTGTAAATAATGGCTGGATAATTTTTGGACAAACCTTATATAAATGCACAAGTTAACTGGAATATTTAAGTTTATAGCTAGACTGACCATTTTGATGAAGAGTATAGTTTGGTTGGCACTCGTGTCAGTATGTTTACTGAATTTACTTTTTTGAAATTGTTTTATTAATTACCGGGCATTTTATTATTATGAACAATGGAGTAATGGTTAAGCAATTCCACTTTGGTTGACCAAAGGAATAAGATGTTTATAATAATAATAATAATGAATAATTCTTGTTTGAATTTTGTTAGATGAGGAGGCTGTTTTTAAACTTTGCAGATGTTTTTTTTGACAAACTTGGACCTTCATGCCCACAAAAATCATCAGTGTCAAAAGGACATTTTTTCCCCTTGACACCAATATTACTTTAACTACCTTCACTCCTCAGCAATGTTTATTGTTTTAAAAAGTAATGATTAGAATTGTAATAAAACTTAAACATATGAAAGTTAATTTATAGATTTTCTTTGTTCTTGAGAATTGACTACTCTGTTTTTTTATTTTTTTTATTTTATTTTTTTTATTTTATTTTATTTTTTTGCAGGCATGAATGATATCCAAGTTTGCCATTTTATTTTTTTCCTTTTTAAAACTAATTGTTTGTGTTTTTTTTTTTTTTGTTTGTTTTTTTTTTTTGCCAGCACTTCAGTAATGTACATACTGACTTTCTTTTGGTGTCGGTTATTTTCCAAAATATTGACAAATCTTCCATTGGGAACACAAGACATATCTCCCTCTCTGTAAATACATGCTCATCACATCCTAGTTTTTGTGTCTCTGCATTCCGGAGTTCATTTTCCCACTGACTTTCACATTAAACTTGTAATTGTTCCTTGAACTTCATACGTCCGCGAAGTGATTTACCTGACCCACCTCCCACTAAGGCAGGATGGAACACAAGGTATTCTTTTTGTGGGGAACTCATGTGTATACATATTAGCCAAATATAAAAATTGCCCAGTCCCTGTGACCACCATCATGTTCACATAGATATTACACTGACCCCACTTCTCTTAGGGTAATGAGGAAAGTACCACTACAGAATTGGAATCTCTAGGGACAGGCAGCATTTCTCATCTTAAATGAAAGA